TTCTAACAAATTAGTTTGCATTTGGAATGAACTTAGATTATCAGATGTCTCAAAATAGTGCTATGTAGGGGGGAGCGTTGAGGTGCTAATTTGGATAAAAGGCTGTTGGGTTATTAAGACTTGCCCTCTGGGTATGAACAGCAGTATGTGCTTTGCATGCCTCTAATTTTCAAGACTCCGGCTATAATAAGGTATTTTTCATGAGTAAGCCACGTGAGACATAATGTTCCTGGAAGGTCTGGAAGGTCTGGAATGTGCAGCAAATCGTGACTATGGATGCTGCTACTGTATTGGAGATATAAACGAGCAGCCTCAAGCCCTCTCAGAGACAGAATGTGCAGACCAGAGTGCTGCTGACATCTGCAGCCATCCTCCTGGTATTTCCCACACTGTTGCTCAGACAGCCCCAAACAACATCTGTCCAGTTCGGTCACTGGGAGCCTGAAGTGGTTAAAAAAAAAATCATGAGCAATAAAATAAGGTCAGAATGGAGGGCTAGCCTGGGCTAGCATGCAACAGGCCCTAGAGCCCATCTCCAGCACTTCAAAAGGAAAACAACATGGATAGCTAAGCTAACAGATGCCAGTAGTGTGTTCTCAACCCAAACCAGCTGTCCATCTCCCCTCCCTGGAGCTGTTCATCTCAACTCCTTCTAGCAGCCTTCCCACGTCTGGTTCCGCCATACTGGGCTGGGAAGCAGAGACCTCCCCCCTTCCCCCCAGCCCACTCTGCACAGACCTCTGGAATCTTTCATCTAAATCCCAGTTTGAGGTCATGGTCTAAAACCACGAGGCAGTGACTCTGGTCTTCTGGAGGGATACATTTTCTTAACAACTGCTGAGTTGACTTTCGGCTAAGTCCGGCGGCTTTGCCTGTGGGATATACGAAACTCATGACACAGCCCAGCAACCCTGGCCAACTCTCACGATCCAATGAGTAAATAAGCGCCATTGTAATTTCAGGACAAGCCACTACCCTTCTCTTTCCCTTGACACTGAGTTAGTAAGTGATACTGTGGGAACCCTGAAGCCTGCCTTGCTTAGACCATCAGCAAAAGGCAAGATTGCCTCTTCTGAGGCTGCTCTGACCTGGAAGATTGGAATTTGGGGAGGATGCATTCGGAAGTGATTTTTTTCCCCCAGCGATGACAACTTTCAGTATCACATAAGAAATGAAATTGAAGCATTGATCTTATTCTTCAAATATAGGATAGCTTCAATACTAAAATTAACATATAAATTTAGCATCCATCTTCTTCCCGCCTTCCTTCTGCTGAGTAAATGCCCATAGAAAGAATGAATCACTGAGACAGTGTGCAGTAAAATCAGGTTCATTTTTCAAATACGTCGGTTCAAATGCAGCCAGAGCCTGTTTCCTGGGCACCCGACAAATGTTCCCAAGATGTTGCCCTCTCACTGCCTCTGTCCAGATCAATACACAGGGCGAGCAGGAGGTCCTTGACGGAGGAGTCCCTGAGAAGCAGACCCCATAATATCTGGCTGCAGCATCTCCCCCTCTCTTTCCTACTGCAATTTCTTTTCATAGAATTTCAATATGTAAAACGACTCATTAGAAGGCTTTTAGTTAACCTAGCAACCCCCACCGGTAGTCCAGAATCACCCCCGCTTTCCCCATGCCTGTTACCTACCTGGTTATGTAGGAACACATACATGCCTTGCTTCTTGGTCCATCGATGAAACTACTTTCACCCCACTGTGAAGACTGCTGCTACTTTTTCAAAATCTAGAGCAACAGGGTAAAATTTATTCTCCGATGTCACCAGTAAACTGGGAATTGTGGAACAACTAGAAAGTTCCACAGCCCCAGAAAGACCAGCCTTCCTCCTGGGCAGAAAGGGTACCACACATTTTTGCTATTGTCTAATCCTTTACCAAGGTGAAGTTTCCAGAAACAGGTATTTCTGATTCCAAATGTGTACCCACCTAGTGACTGACCCTGACCTCCAAGCTGTGTGCAGTAGACTTAGGGCAAGCATGCCGGTGCTTACACAATGAGGCTGGCCCTACCATGTGAGGGTAGACTGGAAACTTCAGCGTGGTAAGAGTTTATATCCCTGAATTCTTTTACTCAGCATAGATCTGAGATGAAAACCACCACGAGAGAGAAAGAAGCCATTCTCTAATCTAGTGAATTCACAAACAATGGAGAGGATGAAAATGTACTGCCCCGGCTGCCAGGGATTGACTTAAGCCTGACTCTGCTCAGGAATTTGCCTTGGACATGTAGCCCCAGGATGCACAAACCACTTTGAGACAGAAGGAGCCACAGCATGACTAACACACTCACAGAATCTTAGATGAAGGAAGAAGCATTGAACTAAAATAAGAGTAGACAGAATCTCACCAGACAGGGAAAGACAGACTGACAGTCAATGGGAATCAACTTCTAATCAGACTGGACGGGCTTCCGGGTCAAATAGATGGTGATTATGGGAAGTCCACAGCCAAGCACCCGGATGCTGTGTGACAGTTGGAATTTATCTGACAATGGGGTGATTTCTCCTGACCACAACATCCAGATGTTCAGCTCCATGGGAAAGAGAAACTGAGTGCTGCAGGCAGGTGTGTTCGGCTTCCTTGAGCTGGACATGCTTCAGCAAGACAGACTTGGAAAGCTGAGTCAGAACCCAAGAGGGTGGGCCACTCTAGAGGGCCTCAGCTATTAGGAATGCAGAGGAAAGCAGGTACAGGAGCTTGGCAACCCATTTCTCCTGTTGGGAGCCCTGCCCACTCTTATCCCACCGAAATATTTCTTCCTTCAAAAGATAACACTGAGGGGGGAAAGTAAATAAATAAAGAGCAGACCTTCACCAGCTCACACGTAGGCTGTTGCACAGTTTTAAGATTGTTCTGAGCCGGACGGTGGTGGTGCATCCCTTTAATCCCAGCACTCGGGAGGCAGAGGCAGGCGGATCTCTGTGAGTTCGAGGCCAGCCTGGACTACAGAGTGAGTTCCAGGAAAGGCGCAAAGCTACACAGAGAAACCCTGTTTCAAAAAACCAAAAAAAAAAAAAAATAGATTGTTCTGTCATAAAGACGTCTCAGTGATGATCCAGCTGTGAGGATGCACACTAGCCAACTGTGCCCCACCCGGGACCATTTGACCTGGAAAAGGAACATCTAGAGGCAGCCTTGATGACAGCTTGGTTCACACAGGAGGTTATCAACGCTTGTTAAATGTGGAGCAAACCACGGGAATGCAAATGTCTTTTAAAATACATTTGCCCTGGGCAAACTCAGATACTAGACACCAGTGCCACATCACGTCTTTAAGTTCAAAGGGCAAATTATTCTCTCCTCCACTTCTCCCTTATGGAAGTCTTAATGCTTACACAGAGCCCCGATAACAAAATGATATTTACTTTCAAACATTCTGGCATGTGTAACTATGTCCACGAAATACAAAACAGTCCAATCAACACAAAGAATTTTTCCCACGCAAAGATTACTCATTCCAGGGGCGCCTTGTGGAAACAAAAATGAGAAGATTCTTTTGAATAAGACCCTTTTGCCGGAGCCGTTTGGGCTTGGAGGCGTCTCAGGGTGAAAGTTTGCCCTTCGCCCGTCACTCAAGCTTATACTTGTCTGGGGATGCTCCCTGCATCTCCTCGTGTAGAGACTCTGGTGTTTTGATTTACTTTCCCTTCCAGATTCATAAGGTTCATAACATTATTGCCTGACCTAATCACACTTCTCAGGCATTTCAAAGAACGTAAACAGTAAGTTATGGGGGTGGGGGGAACTCACACAGCGCTTGAAATTTCTCTTAAAGAGTTGACAGAAGTTTGCCACATACAGCCAGCCCCAAAAAAATGCTTTTCCAAAGAAAGTGGGGGGGGGGAGCCCTAAACGCTTTGCCTTATACTAGAATTGGCCAAAAGAAAATGGGGAGAGTCACACCTATATTCTGCCTGTGAGACTGTTGGGCTTCCTGGAGCAAGAGTCATGGACTTCCAGTGTTCATGGACTTCATGCCCCCAGTGGTTGGGAGTCAGGTCTCTACAAGACACACCTCTCATCTTAGTCTCGCTCAGCTGGGCACTGTTGGCAGTTTTTCATTTTTATTGTGTCTGTGGTTTGGTTTGGAGTGCTAGGGACTGAACCAGGGCTTTACCCCTGCAGAACCCAGGCTCCACCCCTACAGGATATGCCCGGTTTAAGATGGGTCCCACAGAATGCTATCTTAGTTTCGGACCCTCGTGGCGTTAGTAGCGAGCTTTCCCCCAGGGTTCCGTGTTTGGAGCTCTTCCTTCCACAAGGAGAAAAGACATCAACCAAGACCATCTCCTTAGTTTATTTTTTTCTAGAGTCCTTAGCATGCTACATTAACCTGACAAAGCTCAAGCTTGAGTTCATTTCACGATACATTTCATGCAGTTCACAGCTGTGATTGATTTTATATCGACGCAACACATGTTTCGGTTCAGCCACGTGAAAAGAATAATTCTTAATGGAGTTTGTCTCTGCAAACTGTCCAAGCTTAAATGAGCGTGGTCGGTGTAGTCCGCTCTGTTCTGAGGCGCAGTCTCTCTCTAGAATGGGAGCGACTCGCCCCTGTTCATAGTCGGTTGGCAACCAGACCACTCCCTAAGGTTTCCAGTGTCCTGAGGAATCCTCTTTTACAAAAATTGCATTCAAGTATACTATTTCACTTAACAATCCAGGTTGCATTTAGGAGTAAAGCTGATGCTCCATCTAAATCTCCCCCCGGGGCCCAGCCTCCCCAGGCAGTCCTTAGCTTTAGACCCATTTATCACACTCAGCACTAAATCCACAGAGCAGACCTATTTGGCATTTTCCAGTGAAGTGCAGGAAATTAAATAAGTTATGTTTTTATTGCTAATGTATAGACTTATCGAGCACAGTCACTTTGTGAAAACAGGAGGAAAGAGTATACAGTATTAGTGGACTCTCCTGGGGCGGGGGCGGGGTTCTGGCACACACCAAATGTCACCTGGTCACGACCCACAGGTTAACACTTTAGGATGATGTGTTGAGTATTCTGGAGTCCGAGGAGTCAGACCTCTCGTCATAGTCATCCTCTGTGTAGATGGACTGCTTGGTCACGATTGGACATCCATCGTCGGGGATGGAGATCCGAGGGTCCTCTGTGGTGCGGGAGGAGAGCACGGGCGAGCTCCGGAAGACGCTGGTGGAGTTACTAGGGAAGGGACTGACGTACTGAGACCTCAGCTGGTACTGCTGCTGCAGCGTCATGGTGTTCCACAGGGTGACATCGTTGGGCAAAAAGGGGCTCGACGGGTTTCGGGCCAAAGTATTCCTCAGCATCAGGGGGGTACCGGGGTGGCTGGGGGAAAGGGTGCTGCAGGGGCACGGCCAAGGGGTTGGGGACCACGTTGCTGGAGTCCGCCGCCGCCGCCGCCGAGAAGCGCAAGGTGTCCGGGACTCGGAAGGCCGAGCCCACCGACCACTTGGAGGAAGAGATGGGGTAGGAGCCCAGCGTGTGTTCGAAGATGTGGCCGCTGGAGGGCAGCACGAGGCTCTCTTCGGCCGTCCGCTCGGCGCCCGCCGCCGCCGAGGAGCGGCTGGACAGCAGGACCTCCACCGCACTGACCAGGTCGCCCCCGCAGCCTTTCAGGATGAGCTCCAGCACAGTGGGCTTCTGGTTGGGGAAGATTTTCTTCAACACTTCCAGGGGTGGCCGGTTGGCTTTCAAGCTGAAGGGCAGAGAGACGGTCCCCGAGGGGCCCTCGATCAGAAGATGACTCTGCTCGGCGGCGGCGTGGTACTTGGGGCTGTCCGGGCAGCCCTCGGGGTTGCCCCCGTTTTTCTGCATGGCGTACCCCCCTTCATCCACGGACACGATCTCGGGGCTCTCTGGAGTGAAGCAGTTCTTGCCTTTGGCCACATCCGGGGAGCTCCTCTGGTCCGTGTCTTTGTCACTGAAGGCCTCCGCAGCGGCGTTGTCTGCTGAACTGCTGCTGTCCCCAAGATGCTCTTCAGTCACATCTGGAAGGCAAGAGAACAGCTGGGTTAATTAATCCCTGCCTGCTGTGCTCAGCTTCGAACAGCGCTCGGGCTTCTGGGAGGATGAGGAAGGTGGGCTCAGAACACGCTTCCGGTCTTTAAAGAAGAAATGAAGAACTATTGGCAAATGGGGTGGGCAGGTGGGGGTCTGTAAAAGGGGATGGCGGATCAGCGTTTTCTTGGAATGCTGTGGGAGAGGAGGCTTGCCTTCAACACAGAACGGCCACATAAGCCAGGAACCACAGAAGGCTTGGAACATACACCACGAGCTACCCATTCAGTGGGGCTGTGAGGCTCTGAACCAGACCAGAGCACAGAAGAAGGCCACAGGAGGGGCTCTGGCCATCACCCCCTGGTGTACACCACCCCACAGGGCATTTTAATAATCCCATCCGCTTCCCAGGGTGCTGGGTTTATGCTAAATAGGGCTTGTGATTCTGACAGGTTTTTTTTTTCTTTTAACCAGGTTACCATGTATAATAACTAGTTGATAAAGTTTCTAAGCAAAAGATAAATACAACCCTTGAAACGACTTGTAAAAAGCCACTGGAGGGCCTGGCAAACTCGGCTGCCTGGGCCTTGAACTAAAGGCCAAACAAAACCAGTTCCAATTCTGGATGGCGGGGCCGATGATGCTAAAGAGGAGAAGAAATGGCTGGAAGGTTTGGGAGCTGAAGAGGGAGCCCTGGCCACCATGGCAAGAGGGAGATGGATGCCTCTGTGTGAACTGGTGGGCCAGTAAAGTCCATGGAAAGGCCCTACACGCGTTCCCAATGACAAAGAACTTCCTTAACAGAGCCAGAACCAGCTATGAAACAGATCAGCTGCCAATTTGACATTTTTAAGCTAAGACAGTGTCCAGGAAAGCAAGCTTGTAGGGCTAAACAGGCAAAGGGAGTGGGCAAGAGTACTCAGGGTTTCGCAGTAAATTCTAACAGGACTGTAAACAAAGGAATACAGATTTTTTAAATTAGCAAATACATGCAAATAGATCTTTATCCTTTAAAAAAAATAACGTGCTAGTTGTGGGTGCTTAATCCAGAGTAACTGATCCGAAACAGAAGAAGAAGAAAACCACTCCCATCCAGGCAGTCCTGGGGTTGTCAGCCATGTAGATCTGTGTTTTCTCCTCCAGCCTCAATGGCCTCTCTGTGGGCCTCTCTGTGGGCAAACCTGATTGTGTGCTGATAGCCAGAGGTGAAATTTCATCAAAGAAGCTTCTGGAAGGCACCCCCTCCTACCTGTTGTTGTTTATTTTAAGAGCTTTAAACAAAGGCCCATTGATAGACATTTTTCAAACACCACATGTACCTTAAGTACAAGAAAAACCAACGAAACCCCATGGCCAAATGTGTGTTTTAAAACATTCTTAAATTATAATAAATCACATAACTTTCACCCACACCTAATACAAATTCATACTTATCCCAATTCACTTTCACTACATTACTTTTTTTTTAAATAAAAACGATTGGGTTTCTATTGTGAGGTTCCTTTGTAGTCTACACAGTGAACCCCTCCTTTGCTTCCACTGGCGATGCTGGGATTCACCAAAGACCTAGTTTTACAAGAGAAACTGAACATCTCTCCGACTGCTTCCCAGGACAACAGGCCCAGCTTTTATCTCCCAATTATTGAGCTACTTGAATTCCATGTCCTTGACACACAAGACAAAAACCAACCAAACAAAAAGGCTCATGGAGATTTATATTCTAACCAGCCTGCATCATGTATTCCCCTGACTCCTGACCCCATCCATCCATAACTCAGCTATCACTCTATTCCTAAACCCTGGAGAAGGAGTAGACAGTGACAGTGTGTTAACTCTGAAATGAGCTCACAATTGGATTTTGACCCCTGGTCAATGGAGCTTTGGAAAACAAGTTCAATACTTGCCCCCATGTAATACAGAGATTCTATTTAAAGTGCCATACATCTCTAGGCACCTAAATTCAGCTTTAATATCTATTATTAGCATCAAGTATTTATTGACCTGGAATAGGCCAAAACAAGGAAACAGAATAAAAAGATGGAAAAACAGGAGGAAGCATGAGCTCACAGAATTTACTAACTGGGGAAATGAGACGCATGTTCTGGGCACAGTTTGGGAAGCCTCAGATCCATCGTTCACAGGACTCCTGAGGTTGGAGCCACCCACATGTTCAACAGATGAAGGGACAAACAAAATGGAATGTTATTCCACCTCAAAAAGGAACGAAATTCTGGTATCTGCTGCATGGAAGGAGCTAAACAATGGTCTGACTAAAATAAGCTGGTCACCAAAGAAATGATATGATTTCACTTCCAGGAGATGCTTAGGATGAATACAGTAGAGAGACAGAAGAGGTAGGTCTAGGGGAGTGGAGACAGGGGGTTACTGTTTAATGAATACGGAGTTTCAGTCAGGGACAAGGAAGACGTTCTGGATTGATAGGCTGACTGTTTTAAAGCATCATAAATGTCTTTAATGTCACCAAGTTGTGTACCTAAAAATGGTGATCGGTAAAATTTGTCATGTATATTTTACCATCAAACAAGAAAAATAAGACAGAGTATCACAACAATCTGCTGATAGTAAGGTTTGTTTTTGTTTCGTTTTTGCAAGAGAGGTGGGAGTAAAGGCACACACCTTTGGGAGTAATCCACACACCTGGGCTGTCCTTAACAGAAACGTGGAAAGCTGAAAATAGCTTTGAGTTTTAAAAGGTAAAATTTCACTGCCCTGAATGAATCCGAACACTGAGTGTCTGGGGAAACACCGTCTCATCAGCTCACTTCAGGCTCCAGGTAACCACAGGACCAGAAGGTTAGTGAGGGAGATTTAGGACCGATGCTCTGGCTACTCAAACATACCTACATCATAAAAATGTATTTTCCTCAAGGTGGCAACAGATAGGCCGTCCCAGTCCACTAGACCCTGGAGGGCAGGACTGGAGGTTGGACGGGACACAATTCTACCTTTATATCTGTTTCCCAAGTTCTGCAGAACACACCTCAAGTGATCTAACATGGCTGCCAGCTTGTTCAGTACTTGGGAGGCTCCAATTACAAAGAGACAACAAAGCCATTCTCCCCTCTTTGTGTTGCCCCTAGCCCTGGTACTGAGACATGCCAGGGTACTGTATACATTGGGGTATTTCTTGAGGAACGAAGGAGGCCAGTGCTGAGTCATCCACAAGCTTGGAAGATTTCTGGACTCATCAGCCTCCCATCTCAGTGTCCAGACTATGGCTAAATGTGAGGAAAGCTGGCAGGATGTCCTAGGAATCCAATACATGAATTAGGGCTTTCCAATCCACTGAGCTCAGCACTGCTTATAGTGTGTTCCCAGGGGAGGCACGGGCCAGTGAGGGAAGCAGGGTCACATAAGACGGAACACAAAGTCTTGTGAGAGGTGAATGTAAGCAAGATGTCCGCCAATACCCAAGGGTGCTGGGTTTCAAAACACAGCCAAGATGGGTGGATCTCTGAGTTCAAGGCCAGTCTGGCCTACAGAGCGAGTACCAGGACAGCCAGGGCTACACAGAGAAACCCTGCCTCGAAAAACAAATAAACAAACAAAACAACAACAACAAAAACAAACAGAGCTAAGGATGAGGGACCTCAAAACCCCAAGACAAACTCCTCATTCAAAAATAATTTTGGAAAATCAGAATAGACAATCCCTGCAATCTGGGGACACTATTGCGTCTGCTACTGTACCTAAAATAAAGGCACTGCAAACTACTATAAACACAGACTTTCACAAGTAATTATAGAGGGGGAGATTTAAGGTCAGTGATAAAGAATAATTTATTAACAGGTGTTTCTCTACATTTCTAGGGTTTTCCCCCTAAATGAACTCTAGAAATCATTCGAATTGGTCTAAAGCACAGGGGCTTTCTAGATACAGAAACATGGGACTTCAGCTGAGAAAATGAAACAGGAAATATTCCCACAACCCTCTGCCTTCCGCCGTATTGGAACCGAGTCTCTAAACAGAACACTAGAAGTGGAGGCATATTTCAACCGACAGTTTGAACTCTCTATACCGTACAGGAAGCCAAAACCACCTGTCAAAAAGCAGATGGAATCACAACACAATTTTTCTGTCATGACAGGCCAGTCACGACAAGTGAAGACATGCTTTTTAAACATGGAAAAAAAATCTAAATATTACCAAATACTCAAGCTTTCATTTCATAGCCCATGAAGCAGAAATACATTCCACTCAGAAACAAACTTCCTGTTCGGTTTATGAGGGCTTCAATTAGGGAGAATGCATTTTCTTTGGAAAACAATGACGCCATCTTCTAAGCACATATGCCAGATGATGACAACTATACTTTTTTTTTTGGCTATAAAATTTGAGAAAAAAAAAAAAGGAACACATGAAAGTGTCTTCCGGTCTAAAAAATTACAATTTGAACAATCTAATTTTCTTTGAATTTCTTCATATAAAAATACAACTTAAAAAAAATATTCAAGTGTTTAAAAGAAAAAGCCTGCCATATGTGTGAAACAAACGTTCTGCTAAAAATACACTGAAATGGGCAAGTGTGTTGACTTCCCTGCCATTGGTTTTATACATTCTAGCCAATTAGTGCACAAAACCTAAATCCAGCTACCATCTAGAAAGAAACAAAAGTACTGACTCCTAACTCAGAAATCACTGGGCTCGCCCTCCCCACAAGGGAGGGCCACGCCGTTAACATGTCGATCGTCCCATCTCATCTGCTGCTGTGATCTGGGGGACATAGACCTCTAGGTAGGTCCACAGTGGGTCACTCTCTACACAGCTATAGCAGGAGGAGCCCGGCAGAGGCTTCCTGGGTCCAAACATTTCACAGAGCAGCATTTCCTACTTCCTCACACTAGGAGCGAGGAATCCTTAAGAACGGGACGAGCAGAAATTTGAACGAAGTGGGAATAATAATACATCTTGTTCTAAAAATTGTGCGTGTGTGTGTGTGTGTGTGTGTGTGTGTGTGTGTGTGTGTGTC